ATAAAAGGAAAAAATTTTTAAAAAAAGAAGAAAATAAAAACTTAAAACCTCTGGAATAGGATCTGATATAGGTGGTCATAGTTCTGGATTTAAGACCATGCTGGTGAGTGAGCCCCACTGTGGGAAGCCACACAGGTGGCTTGTACTCCCAGAAGCAAAGAGGCCCCATCTGTGAGCTCTTTATTGGTCAACAAAACACAGGAACAGGCTTTGAAGTGGACAGAAATGTCATATCGAAGAATGTTAGAGGGAGGGCCTCTTACTCTCTCCTGAGAAGGGGGCTTCAAAACAAAACCACAGGGGTCCTTGCTCAAAGCACTGAATCTGGGGAAGAGTGTCAGTACTGGAGCATTGACATGCAGTAGCTTCAGCTGAATAAATTAGCATCAGATGATCAATGAGGATTAAGGGATGCACATCGGGTCATGACAGGAACCATGAGCCTGAGGCAGCATAGTAAAAGCATGCACCAGACCAGAAGTGAAATAAAAGTTTAAACTGTTTGATTGTGTATGTGTGGGGCTTGAAACTGTAGGGGTCATAGGACAACTTACAATAGTCCTTCCCCTCCTCCTACCATGTGGGTCCCCCAGGAATCAAACCTCAGTCATCAGGCTTGGCGTCAAGTGCTCTTACCCACTGAGCATTCTCATCATCCACAAAAATTGTAATAATGAACAGACATACTCTGTGTGTGTGTGTGTGTGTGTGTGTCTGTGTGTGTGTGTGTGTGAAAGAGAGAGAGAGAGAGAGAGAGAGAGAGAGAGAGAGAGAGAGGGAATTTTGTTCCTCTGAGAGGGAATAGGGCTCTTTGATAGTAGTTAAAAATAGAATCCAAGGCTAGAGAGTGGTTAAGAGCACTGACTGCTCTTCCAGAGGTTCCTGAGTTCAATTCCCAGCAAGCACATGGTGCGTCACAACCATCTGTAATGTTATCCGATGCCCTCTTCTGGTGTGTCTGAGGACAGCGACAGTGTACTCACATACATAGAATAAGTAAATCTTTGAACAACAAAAAAAAAAAGACTAGACTTCAAAAGGCAGCTTTCTGTCTCGTTACACAGTAAGCCTCATCATACCACCTGTCCTACTCGGAGGCCATTTGAGGTGAGGCACCAGGGTTCATCAGGAGCTGGGCTCTGGTTGCTTGAATAAGTTATTACAAGTCCCTGGGATCTGACTGTTAGAAAGTTTCCATTATATTTTTGGTCCTTTTATTTGGGAACTTTTTATCTCTATACATCATTCTCTGGAAACTCCCTTTGTGACAGTTTTGCTATGAGACTTGACAACATCTAGCCACTTTCTGACTTCTATTGTTACTCTCTCACACTCTCTAGTCTGCTTGCTCAGTCTGTTCTATGACTCTAGGTAGTCTGGGACCCCTGGGCTGAAAGCAGAAAGAAAGTAGACACACAACATCCCAAGAATATGTGTAAGAACCCAATAACAGGATAGATGAATATAAGGAGAGTCATAGCCATGTGATAGCATCATAAACCACTGTTTAAAATCATGATTTTGGTGACTATTTGATGACATTGGTCGATAATCTTATAAAATGTTTCATAAACTTATAAACATTGATAAGCTCGCCACTGGTTTCGACTTATAAAATAGGGCCGATTACATATACTTCTCTGGCCAAACAGGCCTAAGGAGAACACCACACAAATCCCTAAGCCACTTGCTAACTAAGCATCTCATGAATGGTGCTATCCTCCAGTGGAGGCCCGCCATGGGGCATAGTGAAGACAGTTACCTCTGGTCTCTGCCAGAGGCTGGTGGCTGAAGTCCAGGACTAACTGAAAGTGCAATGAGTCAACTCAAACCTAGTGAACCCTGTACTGCTGGCTTCCTGCTGTGAAACAGCAATAGGTCTCTTCCAGGAAGAGGCTGCCTCAGGACTGAGAGCTCCCTACATAGAGTCCCAAGGGAGGAAGCCTGCTATCACTTCTTTCTAGATTAGCTTCCCAGGAGTCACCTCTAACTCAGGGAATGAGTGTTCTCTGCATTTCTTAGAATTTCCAAGCATTTTTTAAAATGAAAGACCGACTGTGTATACTCATATCCCACATAGCACATCCATTTCAAGTATAAAACTCAGTGCCATCATCTCCCTCAATTTTTATTATTTATGTTCTATTTTTGTGGTTTTGTTTTGTTTTTTGAGACAGAATTTCTCTATGTGGCTTAGTGTAGCCGTCCTGGAATTATATAGGATGAGCTGTCATCAAACTTACAGAGATCTGCCTCTTGAAGGCTACAATTAAAGGTCATGTGTAGACCATGACTGCTTTATTTATTTATTTGTTTATTTATTGTTTTTCGAGACAGGGTTTCTTTGTGTAGCCCTGGCTGTCCTAGAACTCACACTGTAGACCTGGCTGGCTCTGCCTCCCAAGTGCTGGGATTAAAGGTGTGTGCCACCACTGCCTGGCTTATTTATTTATTTATTTATTTATTTATTTATTTATTTTTATTTATTTGGTTTTTCAAAACAGGGTTTCTCTGTGTAACAACCCTGACTCACCTGAACTCACTTGGTAGACCAGGCTGACTTTGAACTCACAGAAATCCACCTACCTCTGCCTCTGAGTGCTAGGATTAAAGGCATGTACCACCACACCTGGCTTTGCTCTAACAATTTTTAAAAGCTATCATGCCCAGTCACTACCAATGCTCTGCCCACCAACACAGAGACAACTATCAATAGGCTTTCTGCCTCCGTGGATTTGCATATTCAGGACATTAATATGTACATGGGGATCAATTATACTACTCATAGTCTCTCTCCTTGGCTTTCTCACTTAGCATAACCTTTCAAGTTCCTCCACATTATGAAATGTTTTATTATTTTGTTGGTTTTTATTACCAAGTAATATTCCATTGTATGAGTATGTCTTATGTGCCCACTCCCCGTTGATGGAACTTAGATGTCTTTAGAGCTTTAGCATGTTGTCTGTAACATTAGTTGTGTTTGTCAGTAGCTTCTATGGGCCCTGCATTTGGCCTAATTCCTGTCCCTAACAACAACCCAGGGAGACAAGTCTCTTTCTCCCATAATAACAATGAAGGACATGAGATGTGGGAGTGAAGTTGACATCTAGGATCATACAGACAAGTGGCAGAGTTGGAGTTCCCAGTGCATCCCATTTCACCTTAATCTTTCCTACCTGGTATTCTTGTTTCCTTCCAATTGGCAATGAGGCTGGAACAAGGGAAAATCATTCATCCAATGGCCACTCACTCTACATGCTGACTAGTTTTACATTGACTTGAAACTGTCTAACCAACTGAAGGGAAAGAATCTCAAATTCTTCCATAAGATCCAGCTGAAGGGCATTTTCTTCATTAGTGATTGATGGAAGACAGCGTAGCCTATTGTGGGTGGTGCCACCCCTGGGATGGTGGTCCTTGGTTCAATAAGAAAGAAGGCTGAGCAAGCCGTGAAGAGCAAGCTAGTAAGTAGCGCTCCTCCATAGCCTCTGCATCAGCTTCTGCCTCCAGATTCCTGCCCCATTTGAGTTCCTGTCCTGCCTTCCTTCAATGATGGACTATGATGTAGAAATGTGAGCCAAATAAATCCTTTCCTCCTCAGCTTGCTTTTGGTCATAGTGTTTTGTCATAGCAACAGTAACCCAAAGGAAGATGCTCTTTAACCTTTAACTGACAGCCTGAACACAGCAAGCACTCCATCAGGTATAACTCAGATACTGCATCCCAAAGTTTTGGTGTCCACAGCAAGCAGTCTGATGTTAGGCACCAAGAACAGTGTGAGCAAGTGTCAAGACTCCATGCTGCTGGAAGACCAAGGAAGGACTTTCTAGAAATTTGAATGCACTGGGTTCCCAATCAGAGAAAGTTGACTGCCTACACAGAAGAATCAGCAAACAGAGACAGAGACCAGGGCTCTTGGTCCACAGAATGGGCTGTACTTCCCTAAGGATGGAAGGGAAGCAAGATTGAGGGATCACACTGCAGAGAGCCTTGAAGGACAGACTGAAGCTTTAGCGTTTGTCTTGTGAGCCTGTGGGTCACAATCCTCTTGGAGACCACATATCAGATATCCTGCATACCAGATACTTACATTATAATCCATAACAGTAGCAAAATTACATTTATGAAGTAGCAAAAAAATAATTTTAAGGTGGGGGGAGGTCACCACAACATGAGGAACTGTATTAAGGGGTCACAGCACTAGGAAGGTTGAGAACCACTGCTCTAGATGCTTCTGAGAGGAGTAACAAGGCCAAAACCATGCCTTTGAACTCTGGTATCCATCTTCAGACCCAGGTACCAAGACTCCTTGGAACAGTTCTTTTAGCACCTCACCAGAAGAAAGAAGAGCCATGTGTTTGTTCATCCCTACCTACATCCCCAGCATCCAAGACAGCACCTGATACCTTGTAAAGGCACAGTGAACAACGCTGAATGACTGGATGGAGAGATAAATGAATCTATCAGCTAACCCTCTCTCTTCCTGTTACCTTTTTTCAAATTCCCCTTTTGCTAGGTAGAATAAAAAACAAAACAGGAATGTTCTGGACTCTCCCATCTTGCCCACCTCCATCTCTCTACTTGCTCTTCTCACATCTGGTCCTGAGTCACCCTCGGAGTCAGGAATGAAACTACCCCTTCAGGTGAGAGATCTGTGACTCATTAGTTACGGGGTTTTCCCAGGGGCTGCTGACAGAACTGCAACTTATCTGTAGACCACCTGAATAAAACTAGTGCCGTGAGTCAGGCAAATAGGGTATTAACTGAGGCTGATGGTTATAGAGAGGGGAGGGACTCGGAGAGTTCACATCCGAGGACCCAGGAGCTTGCCCCCACCCCTGTGCCCCAATTCTGTGTCAGGCTGCCATGCTACAGTGTACAGCCAGATCCCTTCACCTCCACCCTGCACCCAGTCCCCAAAGGTGACACCACCCCACTAGCACACTCATGCACTTACCCAAGCACATGCTCATACAAACTCAAAGAGGTAGAAGCAGTAGTTGCCTTAAACATAGAGACTTTATTGTTGTATAAAATTATTCCCTAGAGAAGTTATTTATTTATCTAATGTGTATGGATGTTTTGTCTGCTTATATGTCTGTGCACAAGCATGCAGTGTCCATGGAGTGACTGCGGTTACAGTTTGTGGGTCACTATGTGGGTGCTAGAAATCAAACCCAGGTCCTCTGGAAGAGCAGCCAGTGCTGAAGTCATCTCTCAAGACCCAAGCTAATTATATACGTCCTAAGTCAGTAAATATCCCTTTTCCTGAAGAGGAGACATGGCTCACAGGCAGGGTACGAAAAGCTGTCGAAAGCTTTCTGGCTAGCCAGAAAGTTAGATCCGACGTCCTTTGGGGTAGCATGAACTGTGCCATATCTCCCTGTCCCTTGCAGTGAGCTCTGCTGTGGCCCTGTGCAGGGAGTAACTTCCTGCTCCCAAACTAAGAATTCATATAAAACTTTGCTTTGGGTTGGTGTGACGGCTAGCTACTTGGCCACAGAAATTCTTTTCTTGGTAATCAAAAGTCCTGGATGACATTTAAATGTCCTGTTTTTTGTTTCTGTTTTTGTTTTTTTGTGGGGTTTTTTGTTTGTATGTTGTTGTTGTTGTTGTTTAAAAAAAAAAAAACTATGGCTGCCTACTACAGTTCTCCTGGGTAGGCAAAGTCTTTGTGGACACTGGATCATCAAAGTCAAGTAATGAGCAGGAAAGGTATCATCAAGGCTAGAGAGTGAGGGCTTCTGGGCTAGGCATCCACAGACGATTTTGTCTTCTTAGCACGGCACTCAGAGTACACCAGGAAGGGATGGGCCAATGTCAGAAAAATGGCCAGCCCCATCGATATCTGGGGAAATAGGAAAGAGGGGCCACTCCAACAACTCTGAGCTGTACCCATCACCAACAGAAGGACCAAACTCCTACCTGGTCTATGGCCTATTTTCTACCTAGACATTAATGTCACCTGAAGGACTTTAGGTTTATTTTCATAATTTATTTATTTATTTATTTCTTCCTTTCTTTCTTTCAACTGGCTCAGGCTGATCTTGAAAGTCTAATCCATCTCCCAAGTGCTGGAATTATAGGATGTACCACCATACATGACTTAGTCAGTGCTCTCGATTGAACTCAGGGCCTTGTGCATGCTAAGCAAGCCCTCTACCAAGAAGCCATATGCCAGCCTCTATTAAACCCATTTCATGGGTGAGGAAACAATAACCTAGAGGGCACCAGTGACCTGCACCAGGTCCTGTGAGAAGCTGGGGAGGCATCTGTCAGACTACATCTAGATGTTGAGTTAGAACTCCTGACACCTTAAGTATGGCCTTGTTTCTTCTAGTGACAGACTTATATACTTGCTCTACACTTTGAGCTTTAAAAAAATTACTACATTTATTTGCGTGTGTGTGTGTGTGTGTGTGTCCACGTGCCATGGAGCACATGCAGAGGTCAGAAGACAACTTGTAACAGTTGGGTCTTAGTCAGGAAGTGGTGGCACATGACTTTAGTTCCAGCACTTGGGTGGCAGAGGCAGGCGGATTTCTGAGTTCGAGGCCAGCCTGGTCTACAGAGTGAGTTCCAGGACAGCCAGGGCTACACAGAGAAACCCTGTCTCGAAAAACCAAAAAAAAAAAAAAAAAAAACCAGTTGAACCTTTCCTTCCACCAAGGATCCTAGCGATCAAACTGAAGTTACTTGATTCGGCAGCAGGTGCCCTAACCCACTGAGCCTCTCTCCACCCTGGTGATCTCTTTTTAATGAGGCAAGCAGGTTCATCAGTGACTAGAACACTGACTCCTGAGTGCAGAGACCTCTATGTCTTGACTGACCATGACTGAGTATCTGAATTGTAAGTCATCTAATCTCTTTGTTCCACAATTTCCCTCAAACTTGGGAGAGCCCTGACTACCCCCTAGGGCTGGGCCATTAGCATCTACTGTGTATGGGGCCCAGGGATGAAAGTGTGAAGCTCCTACCCTCAGACAAATGTGTATATGCCATAGTCTCAGGTAGAAGTCAGGGTTAGCCTGCACTAACTAAAAGTGGGAACCCCTTTTGCTTGAAATTCTGAGAGGATTTTGCATCCTATTCTGGAGAAACACGTATTTGTCCATACTCACAAACTATTTTTCTCCAGACCCATGAAAAGCATGAACTTTCTGGGAAGTGGTACCATGTTAATTCTGTGACTTTAGGAAGTCCCAGCTTGGGTCAAGTCTCTTCCTGTAACCCTAATTTGAGAAGTGAAACCCTAAATATTTCCTTTTTGCAGTACTGAAGCCTCTAACACATCCAGGCCTCCTGAGCCAGCTTAGAGCGCCCCCTGCTGGGGCCCTATGCAGTAGGTTGAGCATGGGTAACCTTTCTAGTCAAGGGCCTACACACAGGCTGGCTAGAAATGTGCCCTGCATGGTACTCACATATACAGCGTTGCTCTTGGGGGAGACTTTGAACAGGGGGAACTGCAGCAGAGACACAATAGCTGACAAGGCCATCACTAGCCCAAAGAGCTTTCCAAAATGCTCTGAGGGAAAACTAGGAAGAGAAAGAGGTTTCAGTGAGTTTTACAGATTCCGCCCCTCCCCCCTCAGCCCCCACAACTACTCCCACTCCAAGCGGGGGACTGGTGTTTGAGAATGCTTGTCAGCCAACTTCCCTGTCGTAGGCCTGCCCTTCACCATCCACGCAAGCCCTTTCTTCTCCCATGCTACTCAATTCTAACTTGTCCACCACAAGACACAGAGAAAGTACTATACCGAGCCACCCCTAAGGGAACAGAAGGGACCCAGGCCCAGGCTATGCCTAGGAAGATCTTAAGGAAAAGACAGACGCAAATGCTATCACAGGAAGCAAGAACGGAGTGCCAGGGATACAAAAATGGGAAAATATGTTTCTAACTCTTCTCTGGGAGAGTTAAAACAGAGGTGGGTAGTGAAGGGAAATAAGAGTTCACCAAGTAAAGACTCTCCCTGGACGCAGCGGCTCTGGTGTGTGAAAGCTGCATCCTTCCCACTTGTATCCAGACCCAGCCATGGCCCTTTTTATATGCACACCCACCTCCAGGCCCATCTCACCCCACAATTTCTTTATTGCCAGCCCACTTTCCTCCTCCCTAAGCCCACTTACGCCAGTGTGAGGAAGGCAGCATTGCACCCATACAGGAAGGAGCGGCTGACCACTTGCAGGATGAAGGTGGCATACTGTAGCTGTATGACAGGAATGGAGGCACACAGGGTAAAGCCCAGGGACAGCAGAGACGTCAGGGCCAGCGAAGGTACCATGGAGCAGAGAGCCACAGCCTCAGATGAGAAACCTGGTTCAGAAGGAAATAGAGGTACCTGTAATTCTACTCAAAGGAGAGCAGGAAAAACCAAGAAAGATAAGAACTAACCAAACAGAACCAGGTCATAGCTCAATACCAACTCCTCAGTGATAATAACTGTCCTCCTACATGTCAATCAAATGTGTCCGATCTTCTTAGTTTCCCAGGGCTTCCTAACTAACCCAGAGATGAACAGGCTCCATATCCACTGTTCCCCAATGCAACCTAGAACCAGGGATGGTGATGGTGACGATGAAGATTATTTATACAGAACTGGTAATAGCAAAGGACTAAAGCAATCCAAACTGTCTCAAACAGAGGCACATGGTACCAAGTACAAGCTAGCCACATGAGAGAGAGCTGGGCAGCAGTTATCGGGGTAAGGAGGATCTCAGAATAAAGAGAGCATCATAGAAAAGACAACTGCAAAACTGTATGAACTAAGCTCTGCATTTGATCTAAGCAAGGGCACATATATATACATACATGTATGTATGTATGTATGTATGTATGTATGTGTACATATATATGTTTACATAGGTGATTGCTGTATTTTAAAGACAATAAAGAAAGGAGGAAATAAAGGAAAGCAAGAAGCAGAAGAGGAACTATATGTCTTGTTTCCCTGTTTTGGTTTTGAGGAAATGTAACTGCTTAACATGTGAGTATTTTCAACAAAATTCAAAGAAGAAAAGAGCAAGCAAAGCAATCCCCAAATATCAGAAACAAACAAACAAATGAAAAATGAGACCAACAAACATAACTGTGTCCAGTTGGACTCATGTGTGTGTGTGCAGCATGTGCACATGTGTGAGTATGCATGTAGGGTCACTGAAGCAAAAGAAAGGCGACTGTGGGAGTGCAGAAATACCCCCGATGAGAAAGGGTGACATGCAGGCAGGAAGGGGGACTGTCTGGGGGAGGATGGGCACCAACAGGAGGGAGATGGTGGGCACGGGGGCAGTAGGAGAGCGGGATGAGTAAGAATGGTCTATACTGAACACATACAGTGCTATTGTATATGTATACAATGCCATTGTCATACATACTGAAAGTAAGAGATGCCATAATGTAGCTTACCACCCGCCATGCAAACTTTAAAAATTAATTTTAAAAAGGATGAGCATACAAGGAGAGAGAGGGCACCCAACCTGAAGACTCTATTGTTTTCTACTAGAGACCCCTAAGACTGGTTGGAGAAATGGCCAATTTCAAGTTTAGTGGAGGAGACATGTCCAGTTAAACAGACCCAAACCTTTCATGGCACTAGACAGCAGGGGCACTGACCAAAGTTGAATTGTGCCTGAGGGTCCCACATTTTAGACTGGTACAGTTCCCAGTGGCCAAAGACAGATCAATGCAAGCCTGAAGAAGAATGGTGGGGGCCTGTGAGATGGTTCAGCAGGTAAAGGTACCTGTCACCAGTCTGGCAGCCCATGTTCTGTTGCTGGGATCCACACAGTAGGAGGAGAAAACTGAGCCCTACAAGTTGTCCTCTGAACTTTGCAGGCACACTCCGACATACACCCACCCACCCACACAGTAGCATATGCTTTATATGCCTTTCACCTCAGCACTGAGGAAGCAGAACTCATACATCTTTGTGAGTTCAAGGCCAGCCTGGTCATAGTGAGTTCTAGACTAGCCAGAGATACTTTTTTTTTGTTTGTTTGTTTTTTCAAGCCAGGGTTTCTCTGTGTAGCCCTGGCTGTCCTGGAACTCACGCTGTAGATCAGGCTGGCCTCAAACTCAGAAATCCGCCTGCCTCTGCCTCCCAAGTGCTGGGATTAAAGGCATGCACCATCACTGCCTGGCTGAGAGCCAATCTAAAAAAAAAAAATACAGACATACACAAATAGTGAGGGCCAGATTGCAGTTGTAGAGCTCATAAGAAGCCCTGAGCCTCATCTCCAACACTGAAGAGGAAGGCAGAGCAGATACCGTGTCAGATATACTGTGCAACTTAAATGCTTTTTCAAATAAAGCAATCTTCCCTCAAAAAAGAAAGAAAGAAAGAAAGAAAGAAAGAAAGAAAGAAAGAAAGAAA